TAGTACAGAATATCAGCACCATTTTATTTAACAGATCAGCTCTGGCCGTTTCCCTTATTTTCCAGGCTCAAGCTGAACCCACACCTTAATACCATATATCTTGTAACACAGGCAAGTACTGTATGCTAAGCCTTAAGGGGAAATAAAGCAGTCTTGGAAAATGAACCTCCCCTTCTTACATTCAGATTGGTGTAATAAATGTAAGGTCTCTTACCTGTTTCTCAATGGCAATTTCGGCAGATTTGCCAAGGGCGATTCATATTCCATAGATTAGTTCAAATTTTCAAATTGCTATACTGTATATACATAGTTAAAACGGGAAAGTGAAGTTCTTCAGGAAATATCTTCACACAACTGAAGCAGCCAAGCAAACAGCATATGGTAAACAGAAATACACCGAGTTTAGAAAGCTTTTGAAAATACCCCATTAGCTTAAAGGAAATCAGCTTGTTTTGATAATTTAAGCATGAAGCTGATACTGCAACTCGAAGGGAACACCTTGTACATCTAAAAGGAATTTAAATTGAACACTATTTTACCATTGTTGTGCCAGCTACTACAATTTCTCCCTGGGAAAATACTATGAATATTTTACAGGCACGGATTCACTACAGGAAAAACTTCTCATTATCAGAAAATTCCAACAGTGCATATTACTTCCCAGGTATCACTCCAGAAGGAAAACCTATGAGATGACAAGATCTATTAACTGGAAAACAATGTCATTTAGTCATTTTAGCCGAGGACAGACTTAAGCCACGAATACAGGAAATTCACATTGCTACCAAGATTCTTGCAGTATTGTCACAAATATGCTTCATTGCTACCAAAACGTATGTTCTAGTAGTCTCTGGAAGTACCGCAGATGTTTTAGTGTTTAATGCATGTATTTCTTACCAACGCTCCTGCATGGAGAACAATTTCTCAAAATGGAAGATGCAAGTTTCTATTTTTGGGCTCCAAATTAATTTGGTCTTGAATCTTGATGCAATTTCTGTTGACTGTTGACTCTTTAAGGGAGATGGTACTTTGCATTATTCACATCCTTATCCATAATATACCACTACTGCACCTCTAGCCTCATCATTTGAGGACATTTAAATTTTTGCAAATACAAAATCAACACTTGAAATCTGTGGAACTGCATCCAAACAAGGTTTGTTAAAGTTAATGAATATATTCACCCCTTTCCAAACACATGGTCCGTAAGGACACCAATATGCCCTCAATACATCACAGTGGTCATCTGAGACTGGTTTTGTACATTGAATTTTCATATAAAGTTTCGGAAATGGCAGACTTATTAGGAATCTCCACAGAAAATGGGGGGACAAAATAGAAGCAACACCTGAGAAAACAAGACCATAAGGGAATTTCAACCCAAGAACACATAATTGGTAAATGATCTTTACTGGAATAAGGTGCATAAAACTTAGAATTGCACAGTGAGCATGCATACCGTTTCTCTGTAACACTGTAAAGCACATTTGACAAAAGGGTGGAATGTTAGGTGACAACTGAAGACTGACTCATGTATTCAAATTTTTTATTGTAACAAAGAGCTTACACAGGTAATTGCATAGGATACACAGCTGTTAAATGAGGGCATGGGGAAGGAGGGGGTACAATGCAAAATCATACATTGTTTAAAAACAAGCTATTTTCTCACTTTAAAACAGTTTTTAAAAACTTAGATGTCACAGAAGAAAAATCTCACTACAATTTTGTTTACAGTTTAAGTGGACCTGAATTGTTTTTTAAATCGCAAAAAGTGACCCTTTCCAAAATTATATTTTTACTGTTTTGTAACAATTCATTCTTGCTGCTGCTGTTTTCTGAAGGGAAGTTCAAAAGAGGATCCATCTAAAAATATTAAGCGCATCAATAGACTTAATGTGACAAATTAGAGCAGAAACAAAAAAAAAAGGCTTTAAATGCACAACAGCTAGTAAAAGGAAAACAGTCTTCTAGATTTGCAAGTCAAGAATCTAACAGCTAACCACAAAACACCGGCAAAAAAAAATTTAAGCAGTTAAAACTTTTCCTGTTTTTTCAAAATTCCCTTCAGAAAATAATGTAGTACCAAAATAACTCTGCAAATACATTCATTTTAAAACTACAAAATAGGGAATACTAATGAAAGTCTTAAGACATTTTCTGCTGTTTAAGACCTTTAGTTTGTAACAAGCTTTGATGTACCATAGTTTTAAATTGTCAAAACAAGCCTAATATGAAGTGGATTAAATAAAATCAATAGGATCCTTAGAAATCTAGTGAATTTCATGTTAAATGTTAAGATTCTGAAATATTAATTCAAATGAGATGTTTGATTCTATTAAGTCCCTTTAATTCATCCAAATTAGAAAAGTGATGGTCATAGGGCCTCTCACTTTGCAGAGGTCCAATATGCATTTTGCAATTTGACGTTTGAGGAAACTCAATATAACCATCATAATCCTATATGGGTTAATTCTAAACTATGAAAACTTAGTTACTAAAATTGTACAAATTATTAATCAAAAGCAATTTATAGTTCTAGAAATTATTCTATAAAAGATTTGCCAAAGGATGCACTAACATGTCACTTTTGGCATTGAAGCAAGAATCAAATTCTTGGTTCAAAATTAACATCAAAGCTTGTTGGGAAAATGATTATCAGCAAAAAAAGGGGGACTCATACATGGCTGCAATTTCAAAACAGTAGGACACAAACAGAACAAAAAAAATCCTGGACTAACTTCAAAAATAAGACTTACTGTAAATTCACCACCCATTTAGAAATTTCACTTGCCAATCCTAAAATCCGATTGTAAAATTACAAACCCAATACTGTTTTTCCTCACTTTGGCTGACCTCTTAGAGCTTTTATGCTTGGAGGGGAGTAGGCTGTGTTGTCACTGAGCTCTTGGCCCCATTATAAAGCTTTTTGTTTCATTCATTTCTCCCAAGTTGAGCGCATACACTTTATAAATTGTTGAGCTCCAGGAGGGTCTGGTCCAGTACCTGGTGCATGCCTAGGTTCTCCTCCTTGGCATGGGCCAGTTTCTCTATTAACAGGAAAACAAAAGAATTGAAGGTAAGTGCCTTGGCTGCCGACTACTTCATCACCCATGGGGCTATGGATTAGTTTCATAAAGCTGAAGCTACAACTTCAGAGCTGGCTTGACTTTGCAGAAAGTTTCAAAATACCAAACCACTTATAAACTCCTTTTGCCCACATATACCAAATCACTTATAAACTCATTTTGCCTTCACAATTACGTGTACAAGATGAGGATGTTTTGGATGTTAAATGTAGCAGCCCATCTAGTCATTTAAGAACGAGCAATTTTTAACTATACTCCAAAAGACGAGGGGAAAATCATTCTGGGATATCTGAAAGCCTAGAGTACTTGCTGGAAGAAAAGTACATTTTATGGTTTGTTGATCTCTTGCTGAAGTCCTTGAGGTTTGCTTTATCACTGAATAACATGTACACAGAAGGCCTGGGCTTTAGTTTAAGCAGGACATTTAAGCACACCAAAAGTGGAAGAAGGAACAAGTAATAGGTTTATTCCATGCTGAAAAGAGAAGCAACCTGAAGAAGGCCCCACGGCCGAAACATTGCGTTTTCTTGCTTCTCTTTTCAGCATGGAATAAACCTATTACTTGTTCCTTTGCAGCCTACACATACTGACACAGCTACCCACCTGAACTTCTTAAAAAGAAGAAAAATATTTAAATTGCGACTGGCTGTTTAAGCAAGAATATGAAATATTGACTGTTAAGGGTAATCTAATGCAACTGCAGTTTTATCAGAAAGTACATTAAAATAGCCAATTTAAAGCAATGGATAGCTTTTTGTAAACCTGCCTCTCCCAAAGCAAGCCTCACAGGTGATAGCTTACCAGTAAAAACCTGATTTCTTTAGTTCCATGACAGGACACAACAGGTAAAAAAAAATATGTAGAGCAGACTTCTCTGACAAGGACTTCCAGGGTGAGAGTCTTCAGGATTATTTCAAGTTTTCATGGTCTCAAATGTGTTCTAGCAATTATTTTTTTGCTTATAGATTTTGACACCTGGTCAATGGTCAACCATTTTCCAATTAGTGGCTTCCTACAAATCACAACAGTGCATTGTGGAAATTCAAGTTATACCAGAATTCATTCAGGAACAGAAGGACTGAGAATGGAAGCACTTTAGAACCATTTAAGGAACATAACAGTATATTCATACTGTACTTGGAGGAGCAGTATTCCACCATTTTGCTGACAGGAGGTAAAATCAGGCACAAAGAACAGACTATTTATAGCACAAATGGCATGGCCCAAAGCATTCTACCTTAAAACCAAAAGCTGATGCTCTGTGAATATCAAGCTGCTTTAACATACATTTTAGACTGGTTCCCAGAAAATTAAAAAGAGCACCCACTCTATATAAAAGCATAAAACCAAAGGTTGAATTCTACTATAAACATTCATGTACAGAATATAAAGTACTGGCACCCCTTAAACTAACTTTGGAAGAGTACCATTTAGTAAGAAGTCTAGACAAAAATGAAATCCTATATTGATCTGTGTCCATTTAAAAATGCAGCACATTTGCTGAAAAATGCATTTTGTTGGATTTAAAAGCACTGAGTTGAACAATCATTTTTGCACAAACATAGAGGTCCTCAGCTTTTTACACATGTAACATGAGTTTCCAGTATTTTAAAAGTCAAATAACCATTTTGTTAATCTTTTATCAATGAGAAAGAGAAGCTTCATTTTTCCCCACCACAGAAATGGTGCATTCTTGTGGATGAGCCGTACAGTTCTAAAAGTTCAAGCTCTTCACTGCATAATTTTACTACATTTAAGATTTTTCATGTAGAATTACCAAAATTATGCCCAACAAATATGGAAAACCTATTTGTGTTTTACATCGATTGGCACCTATGAACCCTGTACACGAAAGGGGAAATGCTTCTGATCCACTTGTTTTTGAACATCACAGGCCAAATGGCCCAGTATCAAACTCCAACTGGAAAAGATGCCCCTTACCAAAAGCACAAGACTATTGGTGAGGATCAATCAGACTGTGCTGTGCTCTGCTGCTTGGGGAATTGGCTAGTGACATGACCAAGGCTCAGACTACATGTGAGCAATCACTTTTAGTAGCAGCCACTTTGTAGGTCCTTATATGTGTAACTGTAAGCACACTATCAATGAGCTATCAAAAACGTATCCAAGAGCTAATTAAATGCTATTTGTACAAAGCAATGCTGTACACTACGTCAGTTAAATATTCAATTTAACAGTCAACAGTAGTGCAGATTGTTAGAAATTAAATTCACTGTTTTTGTAAATTTGTCAGTGGACAGAAGAAAAAGCAGTCATTGGAAACCAGTGCCAGGCTATGGCATTTAGGAAGATGGGACCTGTTTTTACAGACTTGGATTTATATCCTTCAGCTACCATGTGTGAATGCATGAACCTTGACCACTACTTCAAAAAGCAGATTAATTGTTCCAATCAAAGCAAGGCATACTCCTTATAGTTCAAGATAACAGCTATAAGTTTGCTACCCTCGATTTGGGAGAATTTAAACATGCTGCTAAATGCATAATCTTCTGAAGTTTTTTGGTGCAAGTAAAAAGAGCACAACAAATGCCATAGTAATATTCACAGGTGTCCTATGACTTTAAAATAACCTACTTCAGATGTTTTAACAAGTTACTGCTGAAATAAGATTGATACTATAACTATTGTTGTCATACATACATTAGATGTCACATATGCATTAAGTGTGACCAATGAAGAACTACTTATTCTGACAAACTTTGAACCCATACAAGCGTTATACATGGCTTATGTAATTTGCATTTTGGAAAGTATGAACCTTCAGTTAAGTTAACCAAACAAGGGCTTTATGTCTGAAATTGATGCAAAGAGCAGATTTTAAAACTTAAAATGTTCTACCAAAATGGGTATAAATACATGTGAGTAATTACACTTAAACTAGATGAGTGACAATATTAGGGCCCGTTGAAAGACTAAATGCAGCCACTTCTGTACCCAAAGAAGAATTTGGAATTAGATCAATGTCCAGCATTTCCTGCACACAAATTTTGTGGCTAAATTCTGGACCCCAGAAAAAATTAGCAATAATGAAATTGGGATTACTCTTCGCTACATAAAACTGCAGCAGACTGCAATTCATTTAGTGAATGAAATGGCAAAGCTTCAGATGCCTATACAGGTTAAATGGTCAGGATAAGATTAAGACCACATTTCTGCTCAAGTTAAAATGGATGGCTGGTTTGAATGCGTACCCTGTTGCTAAAATTGGTGTGCACTTAAAACTTAAAACTAAAGCAAGGAGGGCAACTCCAGTTCTTGGAGGCTGGAGTCCGGCAGATTTAGCAGGCACTTTTCAATTAGAAACCGAGCTTTAGAAAAGCAATTCAAATTTTCCAAATTAACAAAGCAATTATAAATCAAACAAATTGAAGTAGGTGGCTTATTAGGTCTTGCACCACCCACCTCTAGCTGAAGAAAACTTAAGTATGAGTCTGGGGGTGGGTAAAGTGAGCTTACTTGGCAAAAGCAGAAAAATAGCCCAATAGAGGCCTACAACTTGAGACCTGATGAGCTACAGTGACTTCAGATGGATGAATCTGTTGCTCGTCTTGAGTCCAGTGCAGGCACAAATAGCAAATGCACATCACCAGTTTAGAGGAGACCACAGGTCACAGGTAAGAAATTAGGACAGTTCAAAGAAGGCCCATATTAGAAAGTGGGGGTTGGGGACTTGGTTTTACAAATATGGTGTAACTTGTTGCTGCACTGGATAGGTGTTTGTTGTGTCATAGCTAAAACATGGAGGGATGGGGTGTACATTTTTACTCGTATCTTTTTTTAGATCAATTTTTATTTCCTGTAGAAGAAATCAAATTTTTTGTCCAACAGGAGCTGCATTGTTTCAAAATGCCCGTGTTGCCAAACAGGATTTTTTATAGGAAATGCCCAATTTCAGTTTATAGAAATAGAAAATTTTGTAGATGTTGGGCTCAAAGTCAATTGCAGAAATGTTTAATTTCACTATAATCTGTTTTTCCGCACCTAGGGTTCTCCAACCCTGGTGCCAGAAATCCACAAATCCAACAAGTTTAATTTCTAAACAATTTAATATATCAACTAAATATGATCAATTGAAATTTGTAACAAAAAACAGAATACCATTGAGTCCTCGTGGATCAGTGTTCCCTTCAGTGAAACATCTGCTTACTTGATCATAAGTTTAAACTGTTGCTATCCATTAAATATCAGATTTAGAGTGAACTATAATAAATGGACTGGGGTTCTCTAGAACCCAAGCTGGACACTCTTCCTGTAGCTTTTGCAGTGAAATTAATCCCAACAGGTTGATGAAAACCAGTTACACTTCAACTGTGATAATTGACAGGCATTTGCAGCAACATGTACTTCATTAAAAACTTTATTGGCAAGTGAATTTTAGCTTCTCAAGCCCCAGAACTGTTAGGTGAAGACCACTTTAAGACAAAAGGAAATACAAGATCACGCAAGAAAGGATTCAAAGTTTTGTCAGAAGCCGTAATTTGTGGAAAAAGCAGGTTCTGCAAGTGGTGCTTCTATGTTAGCTAGTGCCATCAAACTGCATCAGCTGTTAAGCTCACTAAGCACAACTCTGAGCTCATTATTCAGAATTCGGTTTTTCTCCACCTCCTTGTGGAAACGATCTGCAGCGACAGCAGCACCAATGACAGCCAATGAGAGAAGACAGAAAGAGAGAGGGCAGGGTTAGTGCAAACAGATCATAGGACATCAACAGACAGTAACAGACAAACCCTCAGGGTTACTGGGAGCATGAGAGAAAATGAGTAACCCCCCTTCCTCCAGGCCACCTCTAAAACTAAACCACCCCCAGGAGTAGTTGAAAAGGAAAAAACAGAGCTCAATACACGAGGCAGATGACACAGATGGAGTCACAGGGATGGAATGGTACAGTGCCACTCCTCAGGAATGGTGCAGTTAACCATTTCAACTTTTACTGCTTGATTTAAAACTTAATACACTGTCACTGGTAATCCACAGCTATTTCAATAACACTGCCTTGCCATCACTGGAAAAGTGCATTTCTATGGTTGGTTGCACTTATCATGTCTTCATGATTCAAAAACTGACAGTTATAAATGTGCAGTTTATACCGCTAAAGGAATCTTTAATTTCAAAGATGTGCCCAATACTCATTCTACTCCCCAGTTTTCTTATTTCTGGGAGTTTATACTTATTAAAATTGCAAAATTGGATAGATTTGCAGAACCCCCCCCCCCCCACCCATGATTCTTGGGGTCTAAAATGTCTTAAGATTTTTACCAAAAAAAGTATCCATGTGTAATTAAATTGTTTAATTAAAACATGGTATATAGATATGTATTAATGTATTCAAGATTTACAAAGTGTCACTAAACCCCAAAAACATTAGCAAATAATTAAAACTGGATCATATTCACTTTAAATGACAGCATGTTTTTCTCAAATTAACTCCAAAAGCTTAGTTATGAAATGTTGTGCTCATATCACACCCATTGTCTTTTATTGTATTCCAAGGTCGCTTTGCATGCATTCTGAAAGTAAACAAAGAATAAAGAAAAAGGTGGAAATAGATCTTAATAAAACAGCAGAGAAAATTAAAGGTTGAAATGTTTATTACAGAAAAAAGGCAAATTAAAGGGAGTGAGACAATTACAGAGACAATTTACCTAGTTTAGGTATTTAGCTCAAGAGCTGTCAACATTCATTCACAGAAGTAGCTTTAAAAAAAAGCTTGTGCCACTACAAAATTCTAGTAAAAAAAAACGCTGAAGCATTTGAGATCCAATGATGGAATTGTGGTAATTCTCACATCCTAGCAGGAGCTGAATATGAATCTTAGCAACACAAGGTGCAGTCCAGGCTCTTTGGAAGCTGCTTACTAAAGCTGTAGGGCCATTTCAAAATGTTGACAGCACCTGAGAGAAAAAACACTGGCCACATTGTCAAGTCTGTCAATGGAAACTTTAAGAAAATGGTAAGCTCCTTGGAGGTGGGGGTTCAGTGCTAGGGAAACAACCTGGTGTTTTCTTAAAGGAATTGAATGACCGGAGTAAGAACATGGAATAACTATGAAAATCTAACAATGGTCAAAGTTATTTAATGCCAAGCTCTTAATTAAGGGGGGAACACTTGCATTGAAAGTGTTTTGAGAAACAATATCTTTACACCTTTTTCCAGCACAAATCTCTCTCCTAATCATCCATTAATGAGAACAAGGTTTTTCTTTAACTGCTTTTTTTGGTGAGAATCAAGTGTTGATTTACCTGCCAGCTTTCTTCAACCTGGGATGCTCGTGTAGTTGGTAAAGTGTTTTGACAAACTAGTCTAGCTGAATAACTGAATGTGTCCTTAAGCAACCCACCTAATTCACAAGGCAAAAGGGTTTGAGATTAAATGTTCTTGCACATTGACACCAATTGCAAAGCCACTCAAGGAATAATAGAGTATATAAAGATGGAGCACAAACCCCCCTCCCCAAGGAACAACTGATCATGAAACAGAAAAGGCAAGAGATGCGAGAAGGAGAGGAAAGCCCTTTAGAGTGTAGTCATGTCATTCAGAGCATTGTCCAGTTCTTCACTGATGGCTTTACACTTCAGCTTCTGAGAGTACACTTCATCTGCAGAATCCCAGGGCAAAGCAGAGCAGGAGGGACAGGACAGTGGCAAGGGATGAGAGTCGCATTGACAGTGGCAGGAGATACCAGAAAGTGAAGAAAGAAAAAATAAGTGAAATAGTGGAGAACAATTATGGACAAAAAGGAAGAAAAGAATGATTAAAGATGCAAAATCAATTGAAATGGTTGATGGAAACCATGGATTTTAGCACTCCTCAGTTACTGCTGGAACTCACCCCCCACATTCACAACCTGTAATAACCAGAGAAGCTAAACTAGATTATGTTCAAACCTGCAGGATCCCCAATTGGTGGATACTGGACAAAGTGGGAATGCTTGATCAAATTCACAGTATTTACATAATTTGAATAACTAATGCATGATAGTATACTAATCAACCAACAATTTAAAAGACAAATTCCAATGGGGACTTCCTTACAAAATGCTTTTTTTACCCTATCATCTTGGATAAAATATCCTTTAAAAACAACGAAAATTAAAGCAGCTAAGTGGCAGGTTTCCTCAGAGATTTCACCTTCTGCAATTCCTTAACTTTATCTCTAGGAGAAAAGTCAATTCAGTCTAATGTCTGCTTAAAATGTGCTTTTAAAATTCGGATTCCGCAAATGAAAATCTACTTGAGCTACACTAGCACAGAATTGAATGTTATAAGCATTCAGAACTATCATGAAGTTGGGCACTGATATTTTTATGAAGAAATTAAGTGGACTAAAAAATATTCAAAATTTTACTTCAGAGCATGTCTCAGGATAAAAAAATCTTAATATACCTGTAAATCTGTTAAATATTTATAGATATTTACCATCTAATTTGTTTAGCTTAAATACTTATACCTTAACGTCACACATTTCTTCATTTTAACAAAGTAAAAGACTTCAGGTTTAAGGGAAGATGTACAACTCCATTTACAAAAGCACTATGCAGTGCAGCATAACACAATGATGAGGAAACTTATTCAAGAGAAGTGATTAAGTGCTACCGCAAACATTATGGAAGGACAGAACAACCTGCAAGAATATGACAGGTTTTTAAAGTCAGGAAACCTCACACCTAAGAATAAGTTACAACATGCTCAAAGGAAAAAAAAAAAGCATCACATTTTCATTCTAAAATCTTAGCTAATGGTCCTGACAAGTGTACCCCTTCTTACCTAAATGTACTAGTTTTCATGCAGAAATTAAATAATCCCGCATCCGGTTTAGTGCAATAAAGAAGAATCACTAACAAATATTCTTGTTATAAACTGTAACACAGAAATGCATTCATGTTATAGTTTATAACAAGCATTCATACAATCATTTACAAAATGTATTCTCTTAACTATAAAAGCTGTAAATTCAGATTTGACACTATGCTTCTGTGTTTTTGAGTTTTATACTAGAATATTGGAAAGGTGAATGAAAGTTAAGACAGCACCTTTTTTTTTGGATTTTTGCAGATTACTAAGAATAGACCACCTATAGTTCTTGACCAAAACAGTAGTTTGTCGAGATTCTCCATACAATTTCCTAATTTCCTCCCTTGCAACTAGAGGTTTTCAAGTTGCTCTTTAGTGATAGTGATTTTTTTTAATAAGTTTAATGATCACCACAATGAATAGCTGTACAAGTAAATACAGGCAATGTTTTAAGTAAGCCCTGCATGAAAACGTTCCATATCATTTTGTTCAAAGACGGTAGGATTGTGTAAACAAATTAGGACCCGAACACTAAAGCAAAATTCTTGTGCATGTAAACACTTGATGTGAAAGTTGTATAGATGCACATTAACCTACTGTAGCTCTTTTCCATCCCCACTTCTCAAAAATGATTATGTTTAGGCAAACAATTGGATAAGTGATCTTTGAGAAACACGACCTAAAGTGCAGAAGTCCATGGAGAACATGCATCAGCAAAAATAAAAATCAAGCTGTTTTAAAGAACGAATATGTTCTGAGCACTCTAGCTTCAGCTTCTAAGTGTAGAGGGCAAAAGGGCACAGTAAACCAATGGGGAAAAGTACATACCTTCCAAATCATCAATTGTTTTTTCAAGTTTTGCTACTGATCTTTCAGCAAACTCAGCACGGGTTTCAGCCTAGCAAAAAACAGAACAAGTTGAAATTAAACTAAAAAAAATGAACTAAAATGGAAATGTACAAGTAGCACAAAAGACCATTTCATATTTTCTGCCCCCCCCAAAGAAATGCACTAAAGAAGAAATGCAAAACAAAATCCAAAAAGCAAAATGAAGACGACAGAACATTCACGTTACTGCAGCTTTTATACAACAATAAAACCCAAACTCGAATGATAATTAACACAAATGCAATAAGTTTAATAATGATCACATTTCATTTAATATCCCTATGGATATAAAAAAAACATGCAAAAGAAAACTACAGGTTTTTAAAATTGACTACTGTAGTTTCCTACCTCTTTGAGTTTATCTGTTAGAAGCTTGATTTCTTCTTCATATTTATCTTCCTTTTGCGAATACTATAAAAGAGAAAAGAAAACTTCTGGTATCTCCCCAGATGAGACAAACCTTCATTCTTGAGAAGCCTGGTGGTAAAAGTTCCTTAATCTTTTACTTTCAATTACATTATTGGGACTGCTAGCTTTCAATGTTTACTCTAGCCAAATTACTTGCATTTCTACATCTTGTGCTATTCCATACTGCTAACTTCATGTGCCACCAACATGTTGCTGTTGAGCATTTTAAAAAGCACAATCAACTTTCATTTTCTAAATCTGATAATTTTAGTAGTATGTCATCAGACAAACCGAACCTGGACACTGCAATTTATAAGAAATGCATCAAGAAAGACGGTTTCGACAATGTTTAAAAGGTTTTAATATGATAACTTATTTTTAAAAGGGAGAGTTGAATCTAGCAGAAAGCTGAAAGCCCCAATTATACTGCTCATTCAACAATAAAGGCTTTTTGCCCAAACCATAGGATATTAGCTTTTGAAGGCAAAGACTCTTGTAAACAGTGTAAATGCCTGGACCAGCTTTATCAAATGTATGCACATATACAGTACTAACAGACCCAAGAAGGTATCAATGTACACAAAGAACAGTTCATTATAATGTAAAGAATGAAAAAATAAAAGGCAATGGTGAGAGATTTGCAACACTAAAGCAAAGTAGCAGGTTTAGGGGAACAGAGGAGGAGTATCATGTTTTGCTAAAACAAAGGTACAAAAACGGAATTCACAGAGTAGCACAGAGGAGTAGTTTCCCCAATAGGTCACCAAACACTAATGCCTCAGAAATACAGAATGATTCCCTCTGAAAGGACAAGGAATCTCACTTAAGGATTAGCTTTTAAACATTTTTGCATTTGTTAATTGTCAGTTGCACAGGACAACTAGGTTAAATATTTTCTTATAAAAGTTTAAACATTCATAAAACCCATAAGGAACTCATTACTTTGTCCTTATTATATTGATTGTTCACTAGTCTTGTCGTATTTCATGATAAAACAAGTACTTTCCAAAATGGAAGGGAAAGAGAAAACATCTTTGGGGGGGGGGGGGAGCTAGAACAAATCCTTTTTTCTTTGAAAACTGTAAGGCCTTAGCAGTTTCTTAATCAGTGTTCAGTTTCAGAATCTGCAACGGTGGTGGGGTCAGCTAGACCAAAACGTAACCGAACATTTCAGTCCAGAAAAAATAACCGCAAGATATCTGGAAAAAGGCTGATGGGGCCTTTTCTGTGGCAGCACAGACTTTTCCCCTCAGCTTGTCCCCTACCTTCTCAGCCTGGGCTTCCAGAGACTTCAAGTTGTTGGTGACATTTTTCAATTCTTCCTCTAGGTCACCAGATTTACTGTACAACAGCAAAAGGTGAAAATAGGGAAGGAAGAGAGAAGGAACGAGAAGATGGAGAAAGCAGTGAATGCCCGAAGAAACCCATAGCAATTTCTGAGGTGTACTGGCCATGAAAGCTGGTCAACAAGGGAAACCCAAAATCCACTGTTAACTTACCTGGTCAACAGAATAAGGTTTCTAAAAGGTTTAGGGTAACTTTAAAAGGAACTCAAATACCTAGACTAAAGCTGATGACTCTTGGTGGGAAAAAAATATAAATTTGTTTGCTTCCATTAAATCAGAAGCAGGCTACTACCTTGTGGCTTATCACATTTTAGAAGCTAAGCAAGACTGGACCTGGTCAGTAGTGGGATGAGAGACCTCCAAGGAAAGCCAGGTTGCTGCTCCAAGTGATATTTGAGGACCAGTGAGTTGCACTCTTCCCCCTACAAGACTTTTTCAAAGCTCTGTCCCCAGTATGGTGACCTGGAACTCTGCTGTAGGAGGTACACTCCTTCAGATGAGACAGATGAATTCAACATTTTGGCAACTTGACCATTAAAAAATCCCACCTCACCTTTCAAGCAAGAGGCATACTCCAGCACTGTGGCCAATTACAAATCTGGAATCAATTTATTCTCTTAACAGATCTGCTGTGTGGTGCAGAGAACTCCCTTAAGGGCTCCTTAAGAATGAAAAGCGCTATATACATTTAAAGCATTATAACCAATTGACCAATTGTTCTTGAAAGATTTCATCATGTTAATTGGAAATCAATACCCAAAAGCAGCACATTAGAGAAACTAGCAATTTACACAACTTGAGTTAAGCTGGCATTTAAAGACTCCAACCCTGGTCTCAGCAACACCAATGTTCATGCAACACCTTCTGACAATGGCCATTCCTACGTTGCAAGAATCACAAGACTTCCTGCTTTAAGGCTAGATCAATACTGGGCTCCGCCGTGCAGTATCACCACCACTTAACCCAGACCACTGGAATAAGGGAGACCACACAGAACATCTGTCACACCACGCCATGATATTTGCATACTTTTGTCACATGGGTACTAACAGAGTCCTGGGCTACTGTTGAATGCATCACATGACATACGAAAAGCTTTATCAAAGTGGATAAATGTCAGCCAAAAATATCTATCCTACAAACTATTTACAGTTAATCTGGAAATGTATTTCTGAAGATGTGTGACAGTAATGGTTCCGCACGGGGTCGTGCCCCCCGCCGCCCGTTCCGGCCCCTACACCTGGGGCGCGAACCCGGGTCTCCGGCATAACGCAACAGGGCACCAACCACATGAGCTAAAGTAGACCTCCCTCAGCCCAGGCAGCTGAGGACCCTGATACATGCAGTGAGGGCGCTGACGTCACCACACTAGCGCCGCTACAGATGCAATACAGAATAAAAAAATTACCATACAGGAACTTAAGACTTTCGCACCCAGAGTCATCCTTTGCCTAAGATCCTTTGCTATGGGCCTCCATTGCATTGAAGTCCAGCCTCAATTATGCTACAGCAAAGCAAGCAATTGCCAAAGAATCAACATAAATCCAAGAGGGGAGCTGGCGAGCTGCAGAGGAAGTTAGGTTTGCTTTTATTTGGGGGGGGGGGGCTCAATCACAGGAAACCAGTAGCATGAAAGGAAGAGGAAGCAGGAAACCAAACTCATCAGAGAAAAGGAACAGTTAGTGACAGAGGTGTTGTGCTAGAGTTGGGCAGTACCTCTTCCTCTGTGGACATCAGGGATTTCAAATTCTGGTCCATTATTCTAAGCTCCTCTTCCAGCTGCCTCACTCGACTGAGTTAGTCCACAGCAAAAGGGGAGCAGCAAAACGCAAATCCCAGGGTAGTGCATTCAGGCATGCATTACAAAAGGGGAAGAGAACACAACCAAGTGCCCTGCTGCAGTTAGTGTATCCAACATCTCTTGCATGTTAGCTCTCCTGAAGGAATCGGGGACTGGAATGACCATATTAATTATTCAGATTTAAAGAGTAGGTATTCTCTATTAAAACTATCCGGAGAGCAAAAGTTTTTATAAACAGAAGCGGGGAAAAAGACATTTCTTCTGTACAATCCCTTGATGACCTCTGAATTTTGGTATGGTGTTAACGATTGCATGACTGAAGTTAAACAAATCCAATGGATTCATTGCAGTCCCCACAGACCACATGCATAACTTGGGGAAATAATGCTTCCTTTCCATTATGTCCATGCAAATAAAACAACTTGTTTTAGCTTTTACAACAAAGTTCAATTCAATCAACTAATTTTGTAAAGGCAAGGAAAAGCCAAAGTCACAAAACAATTGGGGACAAGAAAAAATGGTTTAAATTGCATTTTTTCACAACTTTTAACAATTTGAAATTAGAAAAGCCCAAGTTAATTTCCGTTCATTTAGAATAAGACAGAATGCAGCACCTCTAAACAATTTCACCTGACAACAACCAGTGACGAAAAGTTTTTTCAAATCAATGTGTAACATTTGTATAATATACAACTTTGCAGCAATGAGTACATATTGATTACTTGTGAGAGGTTAATTATCAGTCTTGGCACATTTCATGTGAATTATTGTCCCAGATGGTGGGGGAAAAAATTCCTAGAAGCACTTACTACAGGGGGTCACAGCTATTACAGATACATTTATAACTGAGAGCCATCAGGAAACATACATTAAGCCATTTGTCACTGATTCAGGAATAGTACCAGCACTGCTTATGCCATCTCAAATATCGGCAATCTTTACAGATTAGATGCCTCACTTGAGCAATTTCAATGCAGATCAACTGTTAAATTCAAGTCTGCTTTTATTTAATCAAAACAGGGGTCTACTTTTATTTCCTTCCAATGCTTAACTGTAGAAAATTTCAAAGGAAAAAATGACAGAATTGGTTGGCTGTATTTCAAAATTCCATTCCATGGTAAGCCACTTTGAGTTTTGAATTTTTGGATCAACTGCAAGCCCCAGCACTGTCATGTGAGGCCAAGTAATAAAACTTCAGCAGTGCCACAGACTTTAACTTCTTTTCATTTCCAAATTGTTTTAAGTCTTATAGTAGGCTACACCACAATTGTCAGTTTTCATATACAGCACAATAACCTATTGATGTTGACTTAAAACAGGAATGTTATACAGTGACAGCAATTTTGTTAAAGCATAAATCAGTGAAGCATAAAACCAGAAATTCTAAGGGATGGGTAAATTTACATTGACAAAGAAGTGACAAGGGATTACATTTCTTTAATCAAGCATTTCAGCTATTCTTTTTAGGTTCACAGACAAATTGAAATAAGCCCCAGTGGCTCTTGGGTGCAAAAACCACCAGCAATTACTGGATGTAGCAATTTGTCTCTCTATAGATCATGAACCAGAGAAACTGCATGTTGAGAAATGGCTGCAATGATGTAGAAAGCCCAATTTTAGGTAGATGATGACCAGAACATAAGAAAATTAAACTTTTCTTTTAAAATACACTTTGGATCACAGATAGTTTAGTTCATTTTCAAGAACCAAATGTAAAAGAATTGATCTATGAAGGATTTTGAGATCGGTGCACATTATACTTTATAGCTTTAAAACTAAGTTATGGAACTACTTTGTACTGATCTTGCATTGGCTTACACAAAAAAAAGATAAAATTGAGAAAATACTCAAACTAACGAGGCCAGACTGCACTGAAAACATTTCATCAATGAAAATCAGATTCTGTAGCATACAAGTTCACATTTATCGATATTTTGTCTCCCTAGCACAAGTAAGGTATCAGTGACATGGAATGTACTATTCATTGGTCTTGTATCTGATAGTTCAAGCAACTTCGTTTAAAACGGATGCTTGAGTGTACGAGCAATTATTTACTCCATCAAATGCCTTGTCAGAAATAAGTTGGTTTAACAAAGATGCAATAAATAGCCAATCAACAGCCCCTCAGATTCAACTATAAAGTAAGCAAAAATAGTCCTATATTGCCTAGACAGCCTAAAGACCAGATGGGAATCAGCAGGAGAGCCTTGAACTTACGCCTCGGCCACTTCAGCCCGCTCCTCAGATCGCTCCAGCTCCCCCTCCAGGATCACAAGCTTGCGAGCCACCTGCCATCAGGCAAAGTACACAAGTTCAAATCCCAGTTCCTTGGCAATGCATTCATTCTTCCAATAGTTACATCATTTACTCAGAAATCTGTTGTAATTGAGAAAAATTAAAGGTAAACAGTAATAAAAGGTGCAAACTCACCTCTTCATACTTCCGGTCAGCTTCCTCAGCAATGTGTTTGGCTTCCTTGAGCTGCATCTCTTGAATCTCCATCTTCTCCTCATCCTTCATTGCTCGGTTCTCAATCACCTTCATCCCTCTAGAAAAAAAAAGTACAAAAAAGTAACCTCCAGTGACATACCATGAAAACCTGACATCCCACCACCTTATTAAGTTTTAAAACTTGGTTTCCCATTTTGCAAAGCATTTAATTCCAAATTAACAAAATATATTGGACGCTGTGTAAGCTTAACAGTGAGTGCAGGCTTCCACAAACATTTAATTCTCTTTAGCAGAAAAGGATTCAACTGCTTCTAGAAATCTCTTCAGTTCTACAGTGTTAAATAACTACAAATACCTACAGTTGTCATTAACTTCAAAGTGTACCACTACCATCAGTTCCAAATCTGCTGGCAAACCTAAACTACAAACATCTCTACAGATCGCAAATACCAACACCCACCATTACTCAACTGGTTTAGGTGAACACATTTTTACAGTCCTACAGTAAAACATACATGAGGTAAATTATGAAAAAAGCAATGATAGTGTTTGGAGCTTCTTATATCCTGTATACTGCTTTGCACATTACTGAAGATAAGTTTCCAGAGCTGATTCTGTGGATGTCAATTAATTACAATGCTAAAGACTAGAGACTTAAAAAATAACCTTCAACATGCACCTAAATGTCTGGCCAAAGAAGATGTGAAAATGGCCCTAAAACAAACTCTACTCCTCTGTTTTGAAAGATTGTGGACTATATAGTCATATGGGGATACAACCCTGGTAAGGAGACTTAACTTTGGGTTTCAAGCAGCAGGAAACATTGAGCAATAAGATATTGATCTGCCTGATCACATGACCACACTGAACAGTACACTACACAGCAATTACATCATTAACATTGTTCAGGTAAAGCATTGTGTTCATATTGCCTACAGAAAGGTTAAGAGCAAAGGGAAACAAGTACACTGATCTAAGATGAAGTAGTAAAACCAGAACTTTAAGATGAAGAAAGTTAAAAGATCGGAGAGTATACTTTCAACTGAGAATTTACAGAATTAGTTTGCATACCAAGTTCAGTCACGAAGCAGTCCATTTTGGACAATTTCAGATTTTTTAAAAATTTCAGTTAGGTGCTACATGACCCTTTCAAAGTGCAAGTGATTGTTACATTTGGGGAGGAAATACAACTAAGACTTTGGTCACAATTCACTGTTGCAAATTTATGTTGTATTGAAACTAACCTGATACTTGTGTTAAGTGGTTACTTGGGGTTTAACAAAAGAAAGTCAAGGATGTTATCATATGTTTAGCTAGTCAAGGTTCATAAGTTAGCCCACAAAAAACTTTAAGCTCCCAAGGTCAGGTGACAAGAGTCCAGTTTTTTTAGTAGAGCACACAAATTACTTGACTAGAAGTCAACTTGAAACATGAATTCATTACAGTATTTAACTGCCTTTTAATGACTAAATTGCAAAGATGATTCACTCCGTCCAGAAAGTAGCTGAAGGCAGTAGCCCACAATCCAGACAACACATGCATCAGAAAAGGTTTCAAGAAAGCCTTAACTGAGACAAGATTTAGGGTTATAATTTTTAACTGTACTCAAACTGAACAGCCCCAAAGTCAAATTACTGAATTTATTAAATATATTTGGATGCCTCTTCAGGACAAATTTGTATGATTCACTCTGTCCACAGTGTAGCCTGTTACCATAGTAACAACTGACAAAGCACACACTATATGTCATCTTTTCAGCAGGAAACCAATTCTACCTTTCTTTCCACTTTAAATACCTTTTATACAGCAAGTGCCAGAAAACTACACAGAAATCCACTGGATTTCTAGTCTCAATATTACTTGAAGTGCAATAATGGAAAGTGGCAGTTACTACCACAGCATCCACTGATAATGTTCTATTTTTATAAGATGTTTTCACATAGCTTTTGCTATTAATAATCCTGGCACACCAAAGATTCTTTCATACAGGATAAACTCAAAACTAATTTTTCCAACCCTGCCACTTCATAGTAGACCCTTTGAGTCTTGGGTTAATAACGGCAACACCAAGATTAGGAGCCTGAAATGGTGATAATTCCAAATGCTGCATGAACGCCTTTCCAGTGCTGCAGCTTGACATTTTAATTAGTTGTTAATCAAATGCAAACATAATGCAATTGAAACCTTTGAGTCTGAGGCTTTACCCCAGCTGCAGGAGCCAAGAACCGATTTCTTTTTTTAAATTTGGATGAACTTCTAATCCTCAAGAGAACATTCTACCTGAAAACCAAGTAATTTGTGCAATTGTAGTAAATACTACCCTACAATACCAGCAGCAGCACAGACAATGCTTTTGCAATCCAAGTCCATTTTCCAGGCAGGACAGACATAGCTGACCTTAGCACATCTCACACAACGTGGATATCACCAAGCAACACTCAAGGCTGCTAAACAATTTAGAAACTGCCTTAGGAAGCACCCTTTCAAAAAGAACAGAACACCGTCAAAGACAAACTCACAGATGGCTTATCAAATACATTTGACGAGTCCTGGCAAACATAACCCTTGTTGCCGTTTGCTGCAATACATACTGTCGCTTATTTTAAAAGGGAAATGAGCAAGTCAGCAGGTGCGGTATGCTTCACTATCTTAAAATGACCATCTTTCTACATTTTATCCTTAAATCGGAAAATGATTTAAGGATCGGAGAATTAACTTTTTCAAACCAACAAATACTTCAAGAAGGTTTGTACAACATGCCTAAAACACTGATACAGTATCTGGATATAACTACAGCAAACTAACAATCCCTCATTTACATTTTATATTTCAGCACATTTCATGTCTGAAAGTCACTATAAGGGAAATTAAATTAGGGTTCTTGTCAGCCTCTTACCTACCATTCCTTAAGAAATGTGTTTCCTACAGAAGGAACTGAACTTTGAGCCTTGTCAGATTTTCAGAACACTTTTCAAAGTGGAGACACAAACACAGTCTAGTTTTGAAACACTTGAGGGCCATGCGATTTAGGTAAACCAAATGGTTTATAGTAGTAAATCCCATTAAAGCAGTTGAACTGCTTGCCTCTGCAATAAATGTAAACAATCATGAACTACTGGATTTGGTAAGCTTTTAGATGTCTGGAGGGAATAACTCAAAGTAATAACTAGTGAGGTCTACACTCTGATGCAGAATGGATTAAATTTAGAGTATATGCACAGGCCACCACAAGGCAAAACTCAGTTCTCCATGAGTTAGAGAACGCTGTCTGAATTAGCAGTTTAAGCAAAGTGTAAAGCAACTAATCTTTCAGCAGAAACTGTCAGTAACTCAATTAGGATTTTCTGAAATGTGCAATTTTCTCTCCAGTATGCTGTGCTTCTCTGAACTTTCACTGCACGCTGATGTCACATGTGGTTGGTGGTTTTCTCTGTGGCCTTCAAGGGAAGGAAGTCAAGGTCTGTCACATAAGCTAACAGAAGCCACTCACAGATTTCCAACAGGTTTTACCAAAAAATTAATTAGCACCAGTTTTTTGGAACACATATCTGAACATAATCAAGAGCAGCCTCAGGGAGAACTAAATGTGGAAAAGTTTAGTTGGAGGGCTTCAAAGGAGCTCCAAAGGAAGCACAAGAGGCCTGGCAAAACATCCATCTTTACAGTAACATTGTAAGAGATCTCACCTCTCACTTTCATCAGCTGCCTTCTCAGCCTCCTCGAGCTTCTGCAGCGCGGTGGCCAGTCGCTCCTGTGCACGGTCCAGCTCCTCCTCCACCAGCTGGATGCGGCGGTTCAGAGAGGCCACCTCCGCCTCAGCCTGTGAACAGACAAGTATCATCAGCACAATGTTGCCCACCTGCACAGCCTTGAACAGACTGCTACGCACATCACACCAAGAGCCACTGAAAATAAGACTGTGCTTAGTGTAAATTAGGGCTTCAGAAAGAATTACGCTCAGTCAAAAGGACCAAAGTAAACCAGGAGTAAAGAAAAAATCAAAAGATAAACCTTTACCAAACAGAAAAAGGTTCAATTGTATAGAAAGGAGCACAGGTTCTCCACAGCACATTACCTCATCTGTAAATCAAGACCACCTTTGGAACTAGCACACTTGTCTAATAAAACTAATGACAAGAGGCAAAAATGAATTCTAAAACTGACCGAACACTAAACTTTTACCATGCACATGACAATGACTCAAAACATACAGCCAATGCAATCAAGAAGCTCATCTGGACTAAAACTGAAAAAATCAGAATGGCCACAATCTCCAGATTTAAATAAACCACAACTCTGAAAGCACTACATCTGTAAAAATACAGTTAAGCATCAGTACTGTATGCATAGATGGGAATCTCATAGACAAACAGAAGGAAATGCCTGGTATAAAATATTTAACACTCAGGTGTTCACTAAGAAAGATGTCAACATGCCTTGGGCAGTGGAAGGAGAAAGTTCTGTAGTTAATAGGACTGTACTAGCAATAAAGTAGAAGTGTTCAGGTATTAGAAGTACTCAAGAGTAATTCTCCGGCATCTTACCAATCATATACAGTATAAGGAAACAAGAATTTACCGAGAAGTCATTGACGCAAAGCTTCTAATATCCAAAGATGGGTGTAACCCAGGAAATTCAAAAATTGAATGGTGCAGCTGCCAAATGTAAAAAGACATGCATTTCTAGACCAATAAGTTATTTGTATTACATGTACTGTAAGGTTACAGAAAGTGAACGACGGTTAAAGGAACACAAACTATACTAGAAAATCGCCTATATGGCAATAGTCAAAATTGATTTCTTCCCTAATCAACCTGTTACACTTTAGAAAAAACTAATGGAAACATAGGGCATAAGATATTTAGATTGAAAAAAGGCTTTTGATAAATTTCTTCAAATGAGTTATTCTGAAATTACAAGCAACTGACACCAGGGAAACCCGAGTTTCAGAAAAGAACTGAATAAACAAACCAGCAAATCAGGATAAGCAAACATGTCAGAAACAGCAAATAAAATAAGATTTGTATACATAGATTCTACTTGATGCAAAAAGAAGAAACAGTGAGCTTGATGCTGTGGTTTCTTTTGTGACCCTGAGTTCCTTCAAACAGGAAAAACTTGCCATCTCAGCATGAGTAAAACATTACCCGAGCTGCTTTATTGGAAAGCACTTCTCATTTGAGTTAGACAAATGAGAGGAGACATTCTTCAGTCTAGCTTGCTTGGCTGTTAATATCTAAATAAGCCAAGGATTTTGTCCAGCCACTATTTTAAACTGTTGGGTGTCATTGTAAAAAAAGGCATTTTAAAAATTGAATCTTGAGCAAACAATATAAATCAATCAATCAACAATATAAAATAAGTTTAAAACTTGTTTTCCACTAGGCTGCATAAAATGAGAAACTTCAAAAGTCTTTCAGGTCAAATCTCCATAGCAATAACTGGGGCTATTCCCTTCATTCCACACAGATAAAATGGTTAATCAGAAACTCAGCAGACGTCTATGGTCTGAGAGAGTGGAAAGGAGGAATTTGTTCTTACGTAATGGAACAGCATTTGCCTGTAAAACGTTTGTGTATATTCTGGCTTACTGTTCTTGTGCTTGGATACATATCATCCCCACTTTGGGAAGCAGAAGTTATCTTTTCTCCCTTTGGGAGCTTAAAACGAAGCAACCAGGATGCAGCAATTTGAATGGTTTTCTAGTGGTAATTCATTTCACAGATATACAGTGGCATCTAAATGTGAAGATTAAGTGAGCCTAAAATGGCCTGTGAAGGACTCAAATTGTTTAACTTGTTTTTGTGGTTGAAGTACAATAAGAGAAACAGGTGCTAAACATCTAACATTGCCAAAGAAAACCTAAACACTTGCACCACAATTCATTGTGTATTTGGAGAAAAATGCATTATCTCATTGATAACGAATATTACACCAACACCATCCATCTCAAACTATAAAATGCAGAAAAATATTTACTTAATTCATAAATGAATGGTAAAACTGATCAATACCACTTCTGTACTTTCCACCAAGATAAGTGATATCTCCATGTAACAAAGGATGCAGCTGCTAAACACTAGATTTCACCTACAAGGTGAAAGTTTTCGAGGAGCACTATCTTCCCACTCTTGTTATTCGGGTCATTTAAATAAAATCAGGGGTTTCTTTCAATTCTTGCATGCTTTCAGTATGCAGATGAGTCACTGCATAACAGACCATAAAATAAAGTTATGCCACAAGGTTTTACCACCACCCATTTCCAAACCACATGTTTAGTAAATTTATTGCTTGCAGAACATGAGGCTGCATCAAGACGTTCACTGGAATTTAAAATGTATAGCACAAGAAATACTCATTAAACCACCTCTAAAAAAAGATCACAATATGCTGAATAATCCTGAAAGCATGTAAAAGCAAACAACAGTTAAGCAAGCCAACTTTCTCACACGCAATCAATGCAAGCATTGGTATCAGAACAGGGAAAAATTCAGGCAGGCCAAGAAATCTGTTTAACAGCAAAAAAAGAGGCCAATGCAATTTCCTAGTTTAGAGACTTAATCATGCCAGAATACATTTAGATTTTTGCTGAATTGAAGGACTTGCTAAAATGACAGTAAAACTGCACATAGCTAGAAAACTAATTTCCAACTGAATACAGTAAACATTTGCAATGCTGAGACCTTAGCTTTTATAGGTTAAGTAAGGACAATTTACTAGAAAGTACTGGGCTATAACACAGCAGGTGTTTTTACAATAGGATTCAAACCAAAGTTAATGCCAATAAAGTCACCACTGGATGTACTCCCAGGCAAGACAGGTTTCAAGGTTTGGAGTGTGTTCATGGTATTTCAGTACAGCAAGTGAGTAGCAGTGCAGAAGGCAAAATTAAAAGGTAAAGCGCATTCCAGGATTCCAAAGTGAAATCTGCCCCAGTGCCAACAATAGGCTCCAACTAAACAATAGATGCAGTGTTCTCTAAGCAGGAGAAGACTGCTACTCAGACTAGCACTCAGCTCAATCCTATAAATCTCCTTCATTCATGAGGGACCTGTCAGGGAAGCTATGGAATGCCAATTGTGGTCCAGAACACATTCCAGATCCTGCTCATGGTTCACAGCACATCGCCTTACATCTTCTCCTTCGCAGGGGGTGCTCCATGCTTTTGAATTTTCAAAGACTTCCACAAGTGTTTTAGGCCTTCTGCCATGCAAGTGCGCTTTAGAAAGGCTACATCTTTAAAATGTACAGAAAGAACATTCCAGTTAAGATTACAATCTTTACATTTTAAAGATGGATCTCAAACACCCATTTAGAAAATAGCCACATGCTGAATGTACAAAAACAAGCTACAAACACTACACAGTAAAAAGTGTCAGGACTTGCCAGTATGAAAAGGTATTACAATTATCCAGTCTTTTCATTTGATTAGGTTTATTGCTTACTTGGTTCATTTCCCACATTTACTTTGGAATGGAACCTTCTTTGTCTTCACAACAGACATATCAGGTCCACTCTCAATGTGTTGGCTAGTCTGAAGCTTCCCAAATGAGACTGCACCCATTATAAATTGAGGGGGAGAGGCTAGCAAACAAGCCCATTCAAAATTCAATTGCTGACTAATCTGTATTTTGATTATAACTTGAGGTAGGGATTAGCACCATTTCAGGGTCAGAGCTATTATGCTGCTTTTGACAGCAGTAGTGTGAAAAACTGAACATGAATTCTATTCAAAATACTCTTGGACCCTGGACTAGACTGCCATACAGGGTTATTTAAAGTGTGCCTCACACCTGCTTTTTGTATTCCACATTTTGAAACCCTTGCTCATTTTAAACACCACAAATGTAGCTTATAAGGATCTGTCCTAAGTCACAATGTACACCATGTGTATTACTGGATGCTTACTTTCCAACTCTGAGATTTGTAGACATTCTAGAATTACACGAACATGGAGAACCCCAACCCAGCACAACAAAAATGAGCAGGGAGATATCAGAGCAAAAACTTTAGGGGCACTTCCCATGGTTTGCATTTCAAGATCCTAAAGAGACGTTCAAAAAAGCAGAAAATTGCAAGATGGTTATAAAATTTATATTAAAATTACACCACAGGTGACAAAAAACTTTCACCTGCTGCTTCTCCTGAACTCCTACCCTGCATTTTACTCTTGACATTTAGTTTAAGGGATTTCCTGCACTGCTGAAGTGGAACATCTGTGTCAACTACATCTCCAAAGGCAGTTTCCTTCACCTTCATTGAAAGCCAGGAAATAATTAACCTAAACCTAAACACTGGCTGTGGGGGCAAAGAGCCAGGTTAAACTGCACTGGGAGAGAAAGCAGGAGGGGAAGGTCACTAAATGTAAGAGGGATCAGGACAACCCCCCACCCCTCAAGTAGTTTAACATTGTGTTCTAAAACCATTAATACACAGCAGTCCAATGCTTTTATTTTGGAGATACAGCAATACAGTATTTAAAAAAGATCCCACATTCTTCTACCATATGGTGGTATTTGGGGCTTAAAATTATTCCTCCATTTCTACAGAGTCGGGTGTCTCTGACAATTGGAAGTACTGTTTCTAGAGACCTAAATTAAAAACAAAGGCATTGCACCAGTTAACAACCCCCAACAAAACTGCTTGCAAACAGAAAGTTAGAGCAATTTTAATGATAATAGGGGAACAAAACTGCATAGTAAGAAGTGAATAAACTGTGGTGCTGTAAGTCAGAGTACCACAGGGATCTATTTAAGGATCCACTGCTGCTCTTAGTTTAGAAGAATGATCTAGATTCTCGTATAATCAGAAAATGAGTGTTTGCAGATTATACCAAATAAGGACACAGCTAAAGTAACAAATGGCTTTCAAAAAGAAAATGAGCAAACTCCAGACAAATAATCAATATAGGCAAGTATCAGGTTTTACACATGGGTAGCAAAAGCTTTATGAACAAAAAGGGAAATGCAGAGGTGAAAGTCTACTTGTAAATGTCATCATAAATAGTCCTTCATATCTACTAGACTACATGAGGATGTAATAATGGCAGAAGTATGTTTGTAGATAAAAGCATGGGGATGTTAAGCAAAACAGTATAGGCCTTATTTAGAAAAGGGTACAATTTGTCACCAGGTTATAGAAAAGACATAGCTGCTCCGAAGCAGAAGAGAAACAGGAGATACATTCCAGACAGGGATGTCAGACTGAAGGAACTCAACCTTTAAGTCTAGAAAAGACAAGTAGACCTGATAAAAAAAATTTTTCAATTGCTTTGGCAGGTTCAATCCAATAGATTGTTTTAGAATGAACAGTGAAACTATGTGGATGGGCATTTTAAAAAAATAGGAGCTACTTCTTTAGCCAAAAGGTTGTGTGTGCATATGGAAAAGGCTAGTCAGATGGAGCCGATACCCAGGCTTCTTTCAGGAAAGAGCTGCATGAAGGCATCTTTACCAACTACCAAGCAGGCTAGATTGGTTACAAATGAGAGTAGGCCCTTTGGCCCAACTTGCATTCTTAAAGATCTGCATAGTTCCATTTAAAAAAAATGTTTGACTTTGCACTTCACAACAACAAAAAGCAAGTGGATTTTAGTCATACTTTTTCTGGCATTCAGCTCCAATGCAACTTGCCCACTACAGCCTCTCCAGGTGGCAAAAATCCTAATGAGCTTTGAGCAAGATGCTAATCTTAGATTTCCCCCGCTTTGTAACTACCCCCCACCCCCAACACACTGCTGGAATTCCAGAAGACCAAGCAATAAAACTGGAGACTACATCACAAATCTTTGATGAAAGATGTTTTAACTAAGCACAAGACTGTGCAAAATTTTGTACTTTGGCATTTAATATATATATATACACACACAAGCTTTTTTCTTAGTTTTTATGAGCTTACCAAACCTGGGCAAAAAGCTAGATCTAGAAATTAGAATTACTGGTTAGGCATTAAACGTTTCAAACTTGTAGGAATGAATTAATTCTTCAAAATATAAGGCACAAAAACCCTGTGTTTTTAATAAGTGAAGAGTTTACATTTTCATTACAACAGGACATAAGCTATATCCACAAGGCCACACAGGATACAGAGGAATTAAATACCACACGGAAAAGTCAACACCTTGGATGGACACCAACTGTGCTAGGTATCTCCCAGTTCCTTTGAAAAGGCGCTGCCTTATAATTGCGTCTGACTTTTTGCTGTTAATACACATTAAGAGCAGAAATTCCAAACCCAAGATTCTTTCCAATATATTTTACTCTTAAACAAGTAGGGTATTCATGTAGAATATTACCGAGACGCGTTTTACTCTCAGGCTGTTTTCAAACTGAAGCCTCTATTCCATTTACATCAGCAAACCCAAAGTACCCTATAATACAATGCAACAGGATAAAAGTGAACTTAGAATACCTATGGTAAATTGTCATTTGTTTATTCTAGCATTTGTTGCAGTAACCTAGAAATACCCTAACGGAAAAAAGCCAACATTATTTACCCTGGTAACCTAAATCCACTTTCCTCCTTCCTCCAGATGTCCAAGAAGGAATCCTTAGCTGACTTAATGGATGTCAAGAAAAAAGCATGCCCAATTACCCTGTAGCCTGGAGGCATTTTCTCACTATTTCTAGATAACATTTCCTCCACAAACAGCCAACAACATACCATTATAAATGGCCATGCTGGTAGTAACTGAAAAATTCCTTAGGGAATATGACCAATGTGCTAAAGTTACTTTCCCTAAATATTTATTAACATTTCAATCACTTTTTTACAGTTATGTAGACCGCAAACCTCAAGACTGTTCAATCTATTTCAAAATTGAATTTGCACAACAGAACTGGCTAATTCAGAATTAGTTCACATTCAATAGTGTACACTTTTGAGATCTCAGAGTACAAATAAAAAAAGCAGTCTACCTCAACAGATGTATTTAAGAGACTGTAGTGTTACCCAAAATAAAACTCCATAAATACTGTTCAAGAGAAAAGGTCTGTGAAAGGACAGTCCTCATTCCAGCAACACCGCAAGCCTTTTCTAAGAGTAAGACAAAAATATGAACGTGATTACTCGAAAGATCTGCAACTTCATTTATTTGCATTTGTGTTTTGCTTTCTAAAGTTCGAAGTCCTAAAACATTCAAATTCGAATTTTAATACAGCAAATTAGTCATTGGGGACAAAAACAGTTCTACAAATGCACTATAACAAGCAAATGTCAAATTTGAAGGTGAAAATTTTGAAAAAATTAGCTTGCTTTGACTCAGCATATTAAACCTGAACACACACATGCTTAAAACATAGTATACATAAGTGATTTTCTATATTCCTTGAAAGTAATACATTATTCATACAGTAGGGTCTGGATACACAGTGAAAATGTCATACTATTATTTCCTCTTAATCCCCCAGCCTCAGAACTGTCCTATATAAGTAGTTTGCTCCATAAATCATTTGGAAGCGTGAAAGTTGGGTCGTGGATGTTAGTGAAGCCCCAAACAATCTACATCCTTAGAACCCTAAATTTTAAATATTACCAGAAACATTCACAAAATTGAGAGATCACTACCCCCCTTAACAGACCAAGGTAATGGTAATGAGTTAAACTTCCACACAGGATAATGGAGAGGGAATCGTGCTCTTTATCTTTCTGCCCAAGGACATTAACTGCAAAATGTCATGATGAATTATTGAAAATGCATCAGAATCAAGACAAAGGTTGTGATTAAGTGCCGTACTGTAAACCTGACTCGGTTATATACTGTAGTCACGAGACGGTACACATCACCATACAGAGCACTGTGGTAGAAATGCGCTGTAACAATTAACTAATGTTTCAATTAACGCAAACAGGACTAGTCCTCCAAACTCTAATCTTGCTTGACGGCTTCTATCCTTTTCCGAGATCGCATTCGCGATATTGCGTCTTCACAACACAAACGATTCAGTTTTCAGAAGCGTTGCTAAACAGGTAGATCACCTTGACCAACAGACGTCCCACCACGAAGACATTCTTATTAAAGCTACAGTACACACGCATCTCGCTTTTCACCGAGTGCCTTTGTTAAAAATGTATGGTTATTTCAAACTGATACGACTTGCCCAATATTTTGTCTTATTTGATGAGCAAGTATGCGTGTACGTTTTATGTTCTTTTGACCTGCTGTTGAGGGATTTTAAGATCTTCAAGGGCTTCATTTTGGGGAAAAAAACTCTGTAGCTTTAAGAAACTTAGTAATTCCAACTCTATTCTCAACCTGTTTTCTGCATTATCCCGTCCTTCACTCTTTAAAAATCATAAAAGTGAGAAAACCACGAACACAACAGTAAGAATGTATTGAGGATCAGACTTTAATACAACGAAAAATGTCCAGTAATGCACACGGTAAATACCGTAGCCCTTTATTCATTCATCCTGCCCGGCCAACACCCACCCTCCATTTTGAAGAAATCGATACAACTGACCAGATCCACAGACCATTTTTGTTAATTCTATACTGCAAGTAAAACAATACAATATTAAAAAAGTAATACTCTTAAAAAGACTCAATGTGCATTACCAATGTAAAAGCTTAAATGCGTCTGTTAAGCAAAGTGAACAAAACGCACCTTGCAGCCTGAGGAATCGCATTCTAACTTTTAAGCCTTTAAACATTAACATTTTGAGCCAAAAGCATTTACTAAAAAGCCTCGTGGTGGTTACGGACATGCTATACACAAAACTGTTTCCATTAAATGAATTCAGTTTAGCTTAACTCAACAACACCTGTAAACAGTAGAAAAAAACGTACGCATTACGAGGAAAACGGTTTGGGGAATTACAGCCGTAGTATTAAACAATTACCGCAGTACTGCACCACCGTAGACAAGACAAAAAATCCTTTACCAAGCTGGTGGGTTTTAACTGATATTCATAATAACCTAAAAACATCTCCCCATATACTGTGACTAAAATAATTTTTAGGTTATGTGCCTAAAAAAGTTAAGAAAGAGTGCCTCTGGAGAAATAATGGAAGTAAAGCTCGTTCTCTCAAGTGTCAAACCACCGATACATCATGAAACCCTTCAATTGTTGCATTGTAACAGACACGCGATTAGTGATGCGTATCTAACAAACTAACTGCAGTCGTGCAGGGGTTCTCTCTTTTCTAACGTTACACGCTAATTCCATGTACACCGCCTAAGGCCACGTCCATCAATGCGGTCTCATTCTCTCGATTATTTCAATTAATCGTTGCCGACAGTCGTTTGTGTGCTTGAGATATCCTGACCGGCGAGGGTGACTAATGTTTAAAACCGTAGAGCACTTACTCTCTCTCTGGCCTGTCTCTCCGCATCCACCTCTCTCTGCAATCGTTCTGCCCGTTCCTCGGCATCATCAGCCTGCTGCTGCAAGGTCTGGATTTTTCTTTTCACAGCTTCAATCGACGTAGCTCCGGCCATTATTTTTAAACTTTTAATTCCTCAACTTAAAAAAAAAACTATTTTTCCAGCAAGAAGTGTATTACGTTGCGTTTTCTTTCCCCACACAGTCCTCGGGATCTGCGTCTATCCTTTGCGCATGAAGAACTCTACAATAACCTCCTCTTGACCGTCTCCAGTTCTGAGTTCACGCCTTGAAGGGAAAAAAAAACGACCTGCTCGCTCTCTCTAGTCTAACACAGCATGCCGGGAGGGGATGCAGAAATTGCTGCCTTTCAGCTAACCAGCGAGCATTCTGCTTTCCTACAACAGCTCGAAAGGGGACTGACTTGCAGAATCTAGGAATTTCTCGCCCTCCCCCCCTTTATCGTTTTAGTAATGATGTCACTCATCAGAGGCCTGTTAAGTTTTAAAGGCGCACTAACTGTTAAGTGACTAAAAGGACAAAAAAAGCATTCACGACTTAAGACAACATACAGTACTTCCAAACTGCGTTATTATTCTTAGTAATGTTAACTGCAGTAGCAGCATACTACCGGGGACACTTCCTCGCTCCTTCCAGAGCAATGTGCTCTTGCAAAAAAAAAAAAGAATTAATGCAGTATTTGATATTTAAACATTTTTCTAAGAATAATTCATATTCCAAATAAAAAATAAACAGACCACTGTGGATAATATGACTTTATACAGAGGAAAAAAAGGTAAAGCAAGGCTGCTTCTTAAATTTCTTCCCTGTATCTTCCTCAGTTAAAGTTATCTGTGTAACTTATACTGAAAGTCCTGGGCTATGCATTGAAACGGGTGAAAGCTATGGAGGGAAGTAAGAAGCAAAGCTCTCAGATAAAGCTCTGGTCTTGATGAGTAAAATAACATCCATCTATCCATCTGTGTCCAATTTACCCTTAACGGGTTGCAGTGAGCCAGAGTCTAACCTAGCAGGCTGACAGAAGAATGCTAGCTCTTCACAGGGCACACTCACACATTGGTACAAACTGCTCTCAAATTAAGAGATGCTCATTAACCTGGACTGCATGTCTTTCGGCTGTGTGAAAGCCACGTACATACAAAGTGAACATGCAAACTCCACATACTGTATAGGGCACAGCAGACCAGAACTGAATTCTGGACCCAGACAGTGCTGTGAGGTGCCTGCGAACCACCACTGAACCACCACTCCACTGTGCTGTCTGTTACAATTCCATACATTCCCCAAGGATAAGCGTATTCGGGCACCTCTGTTTATTTCTTCTGTAATGAAAATGTTAGAGATTAACAAATGTAAGACATGAAATGACCTAGAAATAAGATGTGCAGTCTATCCTCTCTTTATCCCTAAGTCCGACATGGTGACTGTGAAAACAGGACTAGACCGTTTTTACTAATGACTTATACATTCACTCACAGTTGATAAGAGTAGAACAAAGTCTTTTGTAAATAAATTATAAGATACATTTTTAACCATTTGCTTGGTTAATTTTTTCCCTTATACTGTACAGTATGCAACATGATGGTCACCCTGTCAGGGGTGTAGCTGTGCTTTGCTCCCTATGGTTCAACATGATTTCTGATGTGAATGGATGGATACTGTATATGCCACATATAAACTCCTATTTCATAGAAAACCAAGTGATTCAAAAAAATGAAAGAAAGTTGATTCAGTGATAGAAGAAGGAATAAAACACATCTTTGAGTACAAGAAAATGAGCAAATTCAACAAAGAGTAAATCTGATTGAACAGATGGATTTTATTGCAAGAAAGTGTTAAATTCCTGACACTCCTGTATTCTTTCAGATATACAAACCAGCCAGTAGAGGACTGATTGTCTCTAGCTAAAGTATTGTACAATGTCTCATTTACAGGATTGAGAGTCTATACTTCAAAAATTCAACTATGGGCGTTTAGTTAATGAATAGAAATAGATGTTAAAATGATAGTTCTCTATTCTTTAGCAACACACTATGTGCTTTGTCTTGTAAATTTTTTCCTTGCTGCTATCTGATAACTAAAGACAAACATTTATTCGCCTATACACCCAGCAGAACTGATATTCTGCTAGCAGTCTGTACAATGTACAGCCAATAGAGTTGTCAGAACATCACTAATTGTGGCATTGCAGTTATTCATAGGATTCAAATACAAGTTGTATTTGTTTCTAAACCATTTTTGAAGTTCAAAGGTGACTTTGGACAGCTACATACTGTAACCTTACAAATATTAAGGAAACAAAACGCACAAAACTGCATAATACAAAGAATCTACAAATGTTATGCTATAGCAGAACATTTAAATGCTGAATACTGATAAAAGCATTACATAAAAAACATTTATATTTAATACATACAGTTGTTATGAATCCATACATAGACCAATAAATAAACCTTCTACTAAGCACCTAGTTTTCTTTTTGCATCTGTTACTCAAGATTGAACATTTATTTATTAAATTGTAGTGCAAAAGCTGCTGATTCATATGAATTTCTCTTCTGCTCCAGAAAGCATGATTTGTTCAGTAGTTTTTGCACATTGCCAATGTATTCATATCTGTGGCACTGCAGAAAACATAGTTAAAATTAAAAACATGGTCACAAATCATGCTGAGGAACAGGCTTTGAGAAAACTGCTGACTGCTGTGTTTATTTTTAGTTTTATACTCTAGCTGAGGAGAATGTAAGTGCTCAAAATAATCAATGGTTAGTCCACTCACCTGGTTGCCTTATTTAGTATCTGAGGAACTAAATCTGAATAACAAAATAATGGAAGAATAGAAATGGAAACTATTGTGTGTTGCATGTTTTTGTATTGTATTTTGTATTGTAGAGTGCCTGTTGATGAGGGGATGTAAAAAGAGAACTATTCCATTGCCGCTATCAGAGGGAGTTACCATTGCAGGCAGTACATGGGTAGGTGTGTGTAGTATAGTATCTACTGTGTGGCTGCTTGGAAGTGTGATCTCCTGTGGAGTCAGACAGTATGTGAATGAAAAGCCCTCAAACTGGAAACATCATGGTCTGCAGTGTGAAATAGTGGTTAGGGCCCTATACCTGTGACTGGAAGGCTGTGGGTTTGGTTTGAATCTTTGGTGATACACTACTGCTGTACTCTTGAGCAAGGTATAACACAGCTAAATACACAGCTATATAAATATTTGGATACAAAAATAATTTGCTTTGGTTAAAAGCATTAATCTAATAAATATCAACGTAGAATTCAGAGCTACTAAATGTGCTTGTAGGCAAAAATTTTAAAAGACTGCTGTTTTGTTGTTCCTTTGTACTGTAACTCATGGGATCCTGTCTGACTGTTTTTGTTTCGCTCTAAACATTTGGAGAGTTTTACACTCTCCACATCAGTACCTTTTATCAGTCTGAGACCCCATGAAAAGTCCTGTATTTTTATGTTCAAGAAAAGCTAGTTCCTTAAAACCAAAGGTGTTTTCTTTCATTCTTGTGGAAGCTAAGAGGGATATCTGTATAATTTGTCAACCAATTAGAGTTGTGTCCCTGTTTTTAAATGATGCAAATACGTCTACGAGTAGAATCTTTATCATTTACGGATTTCTCTACATGACATAACAACCTGATCATATATCACCAACTAAATGCCTGTTAAGCTTTATTATTGCTTATGCTTTATGAAAATCAAATCACAGTGGTTTATATTGCATGTTTTCAGACTGAGGAAGGACACTTAGGAGCACCAAGAGACAACCCACAGAGACTATGGCACAAAATGCACCCCAGAACATAATCAAATCCAGGACCAAAAGCTTTGATGTACTAATTCAAAACACCACACCACTGTACCACTCAGACCAAAGCAGTTATTTTGCAAACAGTGTAGCAATTGTCCATCACACAACAGTAAAGAAGTGAAAGGCAAGTTGAAGGTTTCTGTAGCAGTTGTCACCCTGTTTGGAAAGAACATACATACAATTCATATAATACATGGGTTGAAAAGGAAATGGCTCATTTCACTTTACAGTTAGCAACATATAGTTTAGAATAAGGCTTTTAAATTGTTTTGGAAGGAAAATGTAATCTGTTGACATCATAGTGTTTACTATATGTAGTTCAAGTACTGTAGGTAGCTGCGTCAGCATGCATAGGTTGCAAAGGAACAAGTAAAGATTTATTCCATGCTGTAAAGAGAAGAAAAGAAAAACAACTTTTTGGCTGTGGAGCTTTCTTTGGGTGTGACAATTGTTCCATGACTATATGTACTGTATACGTGAAAAAACAATTTTCTACCATGTTTTCTGATTAAGCCTATAGTGATTTTCAACAAGAGATTGACAATAGTTAGAAATTTCAATTCATTGTATGCTGTGAGAGTCAGTAAATTCAGAAAAACGTAATGAAGGAACACAATTATCTGAAGCTGTATCTTCAGCTACAGTAAAGGGAAACAGGCAACTTTAACTGTCAACAGTTAAACAGTGTACCAACTTGAATGCATGTTGTTAACATACATATGAAAATGTAATGTTTATTCATGTTTTCATGCATTTTTATGTTAACTATTTCTCACAAGAGAGCTCTTTTGCAAACCCTTAACAGGAATCCTCATCAAAATAAAGACTTTACTTTTTCAGTGATCTTAATGGTTCAAAATAAAAACATAATCTTGTTTCAGTCTACTAGATCACATGATTTGTCACTCTGCAACAAGTAAATATACTGTTTATACAGTATATAAAATATATCAAGAACTACAGTATGAGACTATACAGTAAATTGTGTTCCATTAAATCAATGACCTGGGAAGAGATTTATGTAAGAACTATCTGTAAGAATTATTTGTATATAGCTGTTTTTGTCAACATACAGTGTTCCTAACATATATCATCATATGATATGAAGCATAACTAATAATTAAACTGGTAACAATAATGCATTAGTTTAAAAAAATAAAGCATGTATTAGGTAACACTTAAACAATGAATTATTTTCTATGAGCTGCTGTCTTGCCAACAACAGTCTTTTAGAGGGACTTTAAACTGATTGGCTGAGCTCAGTTTCACATGTCTGTTCTTCTGTGGAGGTCAAACTTGGTTTCCTCTTCTGAAACAGGATCCATAGCAGCAGGTCAATGTCCAAAATAAACATTAGCAAAAAAGAAAATAAGGGATGTTGCAGATACAATGTTAAATCAAGTAAAGAAACAGAATGGCTGAAAACATTTTAAATCTACACTCTCTGGCAAATTACACTGTAAGCTGGTACTAGTTACGTCAAGAATGACATTGACTTCAAATGATTTGCTTTACAGTTTATATTTTCCTAAGCAACAGGTTAGAGCACATTTTACATGGAACACAAATATCCATGCCTATGAGGAAAAGAGACC